CATTATGGTTTATGAACAGTATTTTTAATATTTTGTTTGAAAGTATTTTTTGTTATACATTATGTGCTGTTACATTATGAAAACCTGACTGAAAACAATGACTGCTTCAAACAGAGCAAAGATTTCTGTCATTTCTCTGACAGTATTCAATAAAAACATGTCTGACCTGTGGTTTTAGTTCTGGATTGGTCTATTTCAGTGACATGGCACTTTTCTAAGAACTCCAAATTTAAAACTGTTATGCATCCATCCATCAGGGTCAGCTGTGGTGCAGCGGTAGGACAGTCGCAGGTTCGATCTACCGCCAAACCCACTTGTCATGGTGTCCTTGAGCATGATACCCGCTCCCTGTGCGCTAGCTGCTCCACTTGAGTGTATCTCATGCGCAAGTGGGACAAATGCAGGGCACAAATTTCATCATTGCAAGTGAACATGCATCGAAGGCAATACATAGCACATAATTCCATCCATCCATTATCTTTTACTCACTCCTTCCTTTCAGGGTCATGGGGGTCACTGTTGCCCATGTCAAGCAGCCACTGTGTGGAGGGTGGGGTACACCCAAGTCCGTCTCAGGGACACMAGACAAACAACCATTCACCTTCTCTAACTCACACCTAGGGACAATTTGGAGTTGTCAGTTAGTCTGTTCATGCTTTTGGTCTGTGGGAGAAAACAGGCCCTACCATGCATATGCAAACTGTGCCTTGATAACTGTAATACTTGTCTGGGATTTAATCTGGCAAAMCTTCTTGCTGAGAGGCAACAGTTCCACCAACTGAGCCCCCGACCTGCCTGAAACCATGTATTTGAACATGGTGCATGTGTTGGTAACTCCACACGGGCTGTGCGCCCTGTTCCATTCAAATAACTGTCCTTCAAGYRTTTGTTTGTTCTCCTTTCACAAAATCATTTTACAAAATATGAAGTGTACTGCCACGTGTCCTTTCAGAGAATACGTAACCAACATAAAAACATCAAGTATAAACTCCTACACAGCTAGAGAGGATGTGGGATCTGTGCAACACTCAAAAGCTMAACTATAACCAAGCCTTTAAAACTGCTTTAACGTGGAAAAAAATCATTTGAATAAGTACGAAGTTATGTTTGGCAAAGCATAGAAACTTTATTTTCACTTGATAATAATTCAAGTAAGCTGTTAAAATAAAGAAATGTTTTGTGGTAATGGATGCCTTTTTCATCATTACATGAACAGTCAATAGTTACATAAAATTTCAGATTTCAGTTTGTGTTGATAAGAGTTCTGCTCTAAAGAAAAAAAACAAAGATTTCCTGGTTCTGTTATGAAACGTTGGCAGCTGTTGCAGCCAAATGAATCTTTGGCTGTAAGTCATTCTAATCACTGGTCAACTTTTCCAATAAGAATAAGAAAATAAATGTTCTAATATCAGAATAAACTGATGGGTATGGAGTACCTTTATGTTTTAAAGAATATTTTTCACATGCTGTTCCCTTRTTCTAAAAATAAAATTACAAAAGCTAACCATGAAACTGGATTTCTTTCCTAATGGAATCTTGACAGAATTATTCCTCTTTACTTTGCAGCCATCCCTGCATCAAACTAAGACTTTTGTGAAAACCTTATCAGTAAWGCTAACAACCCCCTCAACACAAACCAGTTTTACCTTGGCTGATGAACCAGTTCAGTCACTTAGAGCAGTTGAAAGATATTCTACTTGAGAAATTCATATGGAAAATAAAAGTGGGAGGGAATTCCACACTGTACTGTATATATTTAGTGTTGAGACCCATCTGCACAGCAAGTTACTCTGAAGACGGAAACACAACGTCTCTCAAACATGACCTCTGGTAAGTCAAAGTCTTCATTGTTGAGATTTTTTTTTCTTCTGTACGTTTTTTGGCAGTTTTTGTGCTATTATAACAATTTATATTTATTAAAATGTTCATCTCCTTCAGGACATTCCAGTTATGACCTTTGGTATTTCAGCTATTTATACTTTGTTAGCTATTTCACTTTTTTGGCCACATTTTTCCTGTTGAAAATTATTTTATTTTCAACATCCTTAAAGTCCTTCAAGGCTTTACAGAATCTTCCACCGTTTGTAATGGTTCTGGTTACTTTTTCAACACTTTCATCATCTGGGTGCTAATTTCAGCTTGATGTCAACTTGTTTCAATTTAGCTTGTTTTTATGCTAATTTTAGCTTTGTTCTGCTATTTCAGCTGTAATTCTGCTCCTTTCCACAATTCTTCTGCTAATTTCTGCTTTTTTGTGCTTCTTTCTGCTTTTCAAATTTAACTCGCACTTTTGCAATTAAACATTTTCAGCTCCATTTCAGCAGCTTTGAGCTCAAGTTTTCAGCATTCACATTAACATTTGCAATTTCTCTGGTTCATTTTTAGTTTCATTTGTGAATCCAAGTTTATTCTCTGTGTTCCTTGTTGCTTTTAAAAGACGTGATGACAGCACCCCAGAACAGAGTCTACTTAAGTATTCCAAAGAAATACATAAAAGGACTGTCTGAGACCCTGAACCTGGTAACGTTTCTTTAAATGAACACTGCAATCAAATTTGATTATCRTTTTTAATAAGCTATCCGTTTAATTTTAACAGGAACATGGACTGCTCATAACAGAATTGAACCCCATGATAAATGAAGGATACGTGCAGACTTACTTTAAAAAYCTGGGGTTTAACTCAAGATGCAAGGTAAGCAAACAGTTTAAGAGCCTCTTTTTTATTCCTTTTTTTTTTTGTATTTTAAATAAAATCACACATGTGTTTTGAAAATAAAATGACCCCTTTCATCACAACTGTTTATTTTGATTCCAGATGTTGAAATTCCGCAACGCTGGGAAATGCGTACCTGTGGCTTATGTTCGGTTAGCCACAGAAGATGAAGCAGACCGGGCAGACTGGGCTGGTCCACATTTTATTGGTGGGACAGAAGTGGTGATCAGAAGAGTTGTCTGTCCAAAGGTGAGCGGAAAGTCAGGTTGTGGTTTTTGTTTTTTTCTTCTTCTTCTGCAAGATTAAAACTGTGCATTTGGTGTTTGCCTCCACCTCAGCTGTTTTAAAGAAAATGTTGTTTTTTTTTCTGGCAGATCAAAGATGAATCAGAAGATGAGATTGAAGGGGGTTCCTCCAAACGTCCACTACGTTCAGTGGGTTTGGGTTAYGTTTTGGAAGACCCCCAGTGGTTAGGAGAAGAGGATACATGCAACGAAGATGCTGTTTAAGAGTTTCATTCATATTTGACATCTTTACAAAAAAAATATGTTTTGATGTCTTACCAAAGAATGTGCAATTTTGTTTGTTAATATAATCTAAATAAACTATACATTATATACTTTTAAGATGATCAAATACTGTATATGACATTGTAAAAAAATGTGTTGAACTAGACATACTGAGCTTTTAATTCAGTAAATGTGTGTGTGTGTCTGTAACGTAACATGCAAATTAACTTTTAGAATTTGTTTACGTAAGACGTGACCGTGATACAGAAGATTATTGATAAATGTAAAAAAGTTTTAAACATCTTGAGATGTTTAGCCGGAAATGAATGGGGAGCAGATAAGGTAGCATTAAAACGAATTTATACAGGGTTGATTCGATCAAATATGGATTATGGATGTATAGTTYATGGATCAGAAGCAAAAACACAACTAGAAAAATTGGACATAAAACAACACCAAGCTTTAAGAATCTGTACAGGAGCATTTAGAACCACACCGACTGCAGCACTCGAAGTTGAAGTGGGAGAAATGCCGTTAGCAATGAGAGGAAAATAATTAGCAATAAATTACTGAATCAACCTCAAAGGAAATAACCCGGAACATCCAACAGTGGATATTTTAAAACCAAGCTGGGAGAAGGAAAGAAAATATATAAAAAGCTTCGAATGGGTGATTGCTGAGAAAACAGAGGAAATTCAAGTTGACAAATTAGATATTAGTCCAACAGTTCCATTAGCAATAATACCACCCTGGATTCTACAAGATCTAATAGTTGATCTGACTCTCATGGACAGGAAAAAAGACAGAAGATTAATTTTTAATTCATACATGGTACAGGATTATATTAACTATCATAATTATGTGCAGATATACACATGCATCAAAAACAACAACAAAAATGTAGGAGTGGCATACATAATAGCAGAATTCAAAATAGAAATAAAGAAAAGAATCACAAATCAAGTATCAGTATACACATGGGAGATGTTGGCAGTATTGTTGGCAGTGCAGTGGGTAGAAGAGACAAGACCATTAAAAAACAATCATCTGTTCAGATTCAAGCTCAACACTTATAAGTTTGCAGAGCAGTCAATCAGACAGCCGACCGGGCATTTTATAAGAAATACAACAACACTAAATAAATAAATAAATAAATAAATAAATAAATAAATAAATAAATAAATAAATACAACATTATTCAGAATACAAATGATGGGACTAACAGTAAACTTTTTTACGGATACCAGCACACATAGGAGTCAGAGGGAAAGAAGCAGCAGATGGAGCAGCAAAACAAGCAACAAATGATCAAATTAACCTCACAATATCAACAAGTGAATCGGAAGGAAGATCTGTTGTCAAACAAAGACTGAAGGAGCAGTGGCTAAAACACTGGGAAGAAGATAACAAAGCAAGATGGTTTTAAAGGATTCAGAGACAAGTGGGAGAAATGAGAATGGGAGGAAGAAACAGAAAAGAAGAAAGACTAATAAGCAGACTTAGATTTGGACACACTGCACTGAACAATACATTATACAAAGTCCAAAAACATGATACAGGTCAACGTGAGCACTGTGGACAAGAAGAAACCATAGAACACGTCATTTTAGTCTGCAGGGAATATGAACAACACAGAGGAATTAAGGAAAATCAAAGAAACATTTAATATTATAAATACATTGCAAAAATAAACCAGAAGTAAACGTGCACGAATTGTTTTTTTTTTTTTTTTTTTTTTTTTAGAAAAACAAAGTTAGAAAAAGGAATAAGCAACATCACATAATTACATATTATTAAGTATTTTGATCCACACGCCATTTCAGTAGATGGCGGTAATGCACACCTTCCGTTATTTGCCAACCGCCATAAAACACCACAAAAGAAGAAGAAGACGTGACTGTGACGCCACATATGAGCAGCCAATCCGTGTAATGCGCCAAGTTGGCTCTGCTGGCTTGAAAACATGGCGGCGAAAGTGGAAGAAGTATGTTTTAAAAAGGTAGGAAAAACAAATTTCGTTGTCTTCACCGTTGGTTTACGCGTACGTTCTTAAAAAATATATACAGAAAACAAGCTTGCCCTTTCTGTAAATAGTTTATCACACACCACACCAGATTGTGTGCGCATTTGTTTACTATAACGTAAAACTTAGTATTACATATCTTTATTAAAATATTCAGGAATTTAAAATATAAAGAAGTAAGCCGAATAAGAAACGGTTTCGTATCGATTCACTTCATTGCTGTACGTTCACTGATTTTCATGTAAGCGTTTAGAAATGTCGCCGCCATTGCAGAAAACGTCAAAGTTTTCAGCTGGTTTTGTTGGCGGAAGAACTAGTGCTGTGGAGAATTTTCAAAATAAAAGTAGACGCTTGGACATACTCGATTTTAAAGCTCTGTCCCTCATACCTGCTACATTAGCGCACTCTACAGGTCTTAATTTAAAAATGAAACTTTTGATGTACTTTCCAGCAGCAACAATATATAAAACAGGTTCGCCCTTTATATAATGATGGATGATTTTACCTCTAAAAGTTTTTATTTATTTTAATTTTCGATCAAAGCTTTTTATTCAAGGCGAATTTATTTATATTGTCTTAAGCAAGTGTCACAATTAACGACACATCAACCTATCATAACAAACAAGTTGTAATTTTCTTTGGGTTTCCTAGTTCTTTTTATCTAGATTTAAGAAGTTAAACTTTCATTAAAAATAATTTGTGCGTAACAAAAGGAGAGAAGCTGAAATAAGTAAATGTAAAAAAAAAGACTTAGTGTATTATTACATCTAAATGTTTGCCTATTTACTTACTGATTGACACAAATATATATAATCTTCCTGAAATAAACCAAATAAATATATTTGTTGTTAATTCATTGTGTAAAATTGTCTTTCAAAATTTCAAACAGGAAACTGTAAGCAAGCTTCTGTCCAGTTTCTTCAAAGAGGACAAAACTAAATGTGAGTTGAATAACTTTGTGGCTGTGAGTCCCACATTTTGTTTAAAGCCTAAACAGATTTTGATGTGCGTTACAGTAAGTGGTGATGCTTCACTGCTCATGGCAGAAATGCTAAAAGTTTTTGTACAAGGTAAGAGTTACTTTGTGCAAATTTCTGTATGCAATAAAAGGCCACATTTTTAAAATCTAGGCTACATGATGGTGAAAATCTTGTCTTCCCCAGAGGCTGCTGTGAGATCACAGAAACAAGCCGAATCGGAGGACTGCAACCAAGTGGAGATTGAGCATTTTGAGAAGGTTCTGCCACAACTGGTAAGCAGCTCAACAAGCTGAACTTATGTTTACCGTTTGCTATTAAAGAGACGTGTCTAAACATTTTAACAACCCTTGTCATTCTTTAAACACAAGACCTTTACTCAAATCTTCCTCAGAGGGATTGAAAAACTCGTATGCAATTTATTGTATTCAGTTTCAGGATTTGAATTTTTACTGAACTCAAACAATTGTGAGGTTTTACTGTCATCTGTATTAATTTAACGCCAGAGGAATGAAGCATGTTCAAGATATTAAGGGAACTGATGTCACATTGTTGCCACTAAGGCTACGTTCACACTGCAGGCAAATCCGACCCAAATCCGACTTTTTTGACCCATCTGACTCATGTCTGATTTTTTTATGACAGTCTGAACGCGACAAATCCGATTTTTTTTTTTTTCAAATCCGACC